CAAACTCCAAGTCAGATCCACCGTCCACACAGGGTCAACAGTCGGGAGGGGCTCAAAAGCGCTGCTGGACTTTGGCCCCGGTTTGAGCCATTTCAGGCCACGGAGCGTCCTTTAAGGGCTGGGTGGACGGCCTCCCGCCAGCCAGCTGCTGAAGATGCTCCAGGAAGCCTTCCCACCGAAGCGCATAGTCAGGGCCAGATCTTATTAACAGGCCGGGATCTTCCATGGCAAACTGTTGCCTGTTATGGCTCTTACTGCGCCGAGGAGCCACCCCAAGAGACTCCGGAAAAGCCCCTTTTCTGCTTCCCAGCTGAATCCTCGCCTGACCTCTGCCCCTCCCTCCCAGCCCGCCTTCGTCTCCCTGAGCCGAAGGGCAGCTCCGAAGCCGCCACCCCAGGGCAGCAGCTCCCCTTCCCGTCTCCCCCCAGGCCAGGCCAGGCCACCTCACCCCGCTGGCGTCATCCCGGCAGCCTTCGGGTTCCTCCACCATGCTGCCAAAGCTGCTGGCGCTGGAGGAGGAGCGAGAGCAGCCCTGCCCGGCCTCTGGCTTCTGCGCCGCTGGGTCCGGCCTGCGGGATGGTGGAGAAGCAGGGTTGGGGGCTGTGCGGGAAGGAGAACCGGGGCCAGGCTCAGACCCCTGGGGGACCCCGCGGGTCCCACTGCCCCACCTGTTCTTCGTGGTGGGCATCTCTGGCGAGCTCTGGTTGGAGGAGGTCTCGGATTTGGGCTCCTGGCAGGCGCGGCTGCCGTCCAGCGTCTTTGCAGCGCCCGTGGGGCTCTCCCTGCGGGAGACACAGGCAGGGTCTCTAGATCAAGGCGGAGGAGGCGTGGGGGGCCTGGGTGGGAGAGGCTCTTCCCCAGCCTCAAAAAGCAAGCTGAGCGGACCATGCTTGGCCCGAACGCAACTGTTTTCATCTGGACTCCACTTTGTGGATGAAGCAGCCAGCCGTTTTTGCTCCAGAAATCCCAGGTGAGCGAGGGAAGCCAGCCAGGCCGGGAAGAGTGAGGGGGCAGCCCCCCAGCGGCCATGCCCTTTGCGCCCCACCTTTTCTCCTGCACCTCCTGGATGTTCTCGATGCCAATCGCGCTGCTTCGCCGGGAACTGAACGGTCCAGACTTCTTCCGCGTCGGACTCTTCCCAGGGACGATCAGAGACTGCAAGAGAGGGGGGGCTGTTAGGCAGAAAGATGGGGGGATGGGGGAGCCGCTCCAGAGAATTGTGGGGGTGGGTCTCCGAGCTGCCCTACTCCAGAGCCGACCAGCAAGCAAGCAAGTCGAGGGTGGGAAAGCCTGTCCCGTGTCTCAACCAAGGGAGGCAGAACCAACCGCAGACTTCTCAGCCCTATTCTTTCAAGGCGTTCCAAGAAATCTAAGGTCATTCTTCCAAACCCGTATTTCCTAGGAATTCCTGAAACGGGCTGTAGCTCCCACAGGTCCATTAAAAGGTACAGCATAGCTTTTGGCTGCCCCCCAAGGCGTTCAGGGCCAGACCCGACTGTGGCGGCCCAACCCTTTTGGCCAACAGTTGCGCAAACGGGCCTTTCGTGCTCCAGAACAGAGCGTGCACAACAGACAGCAAAGCAGGGGCAAATCGTACTCCCAGCCAAAAAAACTCTGCAGCGTGCCAAGGATTTATTATGCTTCTCTGAAAAGGGTGCCCTGGTGCTGGGCCAGAGGTAGGAGGAGAGGCAGGCAGGGCGGGGGGTCAGGAACATGGAAGCGTGAGCCAGGGAAGACCCCCGTGGGGCAGGGCCACTCTTCCTCCCAACCCTCCACCTTTCCTCTCTCACAAAATTGCCTGTCAACCTTTTTAAAAAGCCACAGGATCTCGAGAAAACTTCGGAGTCCCCCGAGAATGCCAGGGGAACAAACCCGACCCACGAGGGTGCAGGAGGAAGGGCGCCACCCTGAGGGGCGCGGGACAGGCTTGGAAAGAGTCTGCTGGACTCTGAGCCCTGCGCGCTGCCCTGCGAATGTTCTGTGGCTCCCAGCAGAAAGGACTTTGCCGCTTAATCCTATTTTCACCGTGTGGCACGTGAACAAACAGCAGGAGGTTGTCAATCGCAGGGAGATAACGAGAGACCTTGAAACCATCTGACGGGTGCAGATGGAAGACCCAGCTGGGCTCGCAAAGGGAGGCAGGTCAAGGGCCCAGAAACAGTAGCGCCCCCACCCAGCGGATCCCACCCCCCAAGTCCACGCTTGCGTCCAAGGTCGTCGGCCCAGCACTGCCCTGAAAGGGGCCGAGCCCCTCTACAGCAAAGGCCGCCCCGGCCCCCTTTCAAAGGAACGCATGACCATCTTCCGGCCAGCTTCGTTACAATCCTAGCTTAGCGTTTCTCACAAGACGTATTCCTGAACGCTGCTGTTTGAGGGCAGGACCACCGGGAAACTCAAAAAGCTAAACATACAGATGAGCAGAAACTCGGCGCAGAGTCTTCCGTTCCCGTCCATCAAATGCAAACCGTTCTGATTAGGAGATGGAAGACCTGGGGGGGGGGGTCACCCCAGACGAACTAGGGAGGGGGGAAATGTTTTCCCAAGGGGGAGGCCAGCCAGCAATTTCCCAGGCTTAGGAAAGAGCAGCTCCCCCCTCCCCCAAGCCTGGGAGGGAGATGAGAGGCAGTGTGGGGCACGTGGTGGGGCAGGGAAGGGGTCAGCAGGAGAGAATGAGAGAGAGAGGAAGAAGGAGGAAAAAACCAGCCACCTCTTCTATGGTTCCTATGCCTATCGCGCTGCCTCGGCGTCCGCACCTACTTGACGTTTTTCCGGGCACAAGCAATGACTGGCAAGCGGGCAGGGCGCGAAAAGGGGGGAAGGGGGCAGAGGGGGAGAGGGGGAGGACAAAGGAGCCGGGGAAAGGAGGAGAGAGAGAGAGAAAAAGAAGTCATGCGGACAAAATGGCGCTCAGTCATCATCAACCAAGGGCTACCACCAGGGGCTGCGTGGCCGGCCTCCCTGGAGTGCCAAGGCAGCGGGTATGGAGCTGGCATGAGAAGGGAAGGCAAGAGGAAGCTGCTGGGGCTGCTGCCCGGGGGGAGGGGTGCAGGCACAGGGGAGATGGTTGGTGGGGGGCAGGCAGCAGAAGCGGTGCCCAGGACGAAGGTCTGACTGCTGGGGCTCCTGGCACGCTCGGTGCCCCGCTCTTGCTATGGCGGCCCAGCCATCCTTGGGCATCGACCTGGGCTCCCCACCCCAGCCCTCCTGCAGCCTGGGGGAGGAAACAGAGGAGCCCTCCCCTGCCGAGACGAGGGCTGGGGGACGGCCCCCTTTTGCCCTCTTTAAAAGCTCCTTCCTGCCAGGGAATGTGTAGGGAGGGAGCGCTTCAGCCCGGACTCCGCAAGACCGCAAGACCCCCCCTTGCAAGCCGTGCTCCAGGCGGCCACCTCTCCCCCGGCTGCAGTCGCGGCTCCCACCCTGGAACAAGGCTGCCACCCAGTGGCCGCTCTGGGGCACTGCGCCCAAAGGAGGTCCTGCTGCCCTTCCAGCCGGCCAGGGAGGCAGGGGGAGAGCAGGGGGAGATCCGAGTCTGCCCCTGCGCCACAACCCACCCCCATGCAGCCCCGGGCAACTTCCAGCGCCACCCCAATGCTGTGAAGGATACTGGGGGGGGGGGGGCAGGAGCA